GAGTTAACTCAGTGCTCACTCCTCTCGCTGTTTGCACCTTATCTGAAAAGCCAGGACTAGGAGATGAGTCAGAGTTTGAAGAGGGTTCACAGCTTCATCTGGGAGTTATAGGTGAAGCTCTCAGCCGGACTCATACAGATCATACTGCAAACAGGTAAGAAGTCATCCCGGAAGGTGGGCGACACAGACTCATAGGCCTCCAGGCCAAAGCGGGCCTGTGCTTAGTCTTCCTAGGTTTTATTTGAATTTCCACAAATTCACGTATTTTTGTGTTAGACTTGTTTCATAGGCTTCAAGACCTGAAGCAGCTTTGCTGTTTCACACTTTGCTATTGGGGGATTTGGCCATAAACATATATTTTTAAAAATATATTTTTATTGATTTTGTACAGAGAGGAAGGGAGAGAGACAGAGAGTCAGAAACACTGATGAGAGAGAGTCATCGATCAGCTGCCTCTTGCACACCCCCTACTGGGGATATGCCCGCAACCAAGGTATTATACATGCCCTTGACCGGAATCGAACCCGGGACCCTTCAGTCCCCAAGCCGACGCTCTATCCATTGAGCCAAACTGGTCTCGGCCATAAACATATTTTTAAAGCAATATGTTTTATTGATTTTTTACAGAGAGGAAGAGAGAGAGATAGAGAGCTAGATACATCGATGAGAGAAACATCTATCAGCTGCCTCCTGCACACCCCACACCGGGGATGTACCCGCAACCAATGTACATGCCCTTGCCCGGAATCGAACCTGGGACCCTTCAGTCCGCAGACCGACACTCTATCCACTGAGCCAAACCCGTTTAGGTCATATATCCCTTTTTAATTCTTCATTAGAGATGTAAATTTTTTTAAAAAAATATATTTTTTATTGATTTCAGAGAGGAAGGGAAAGGGAGAGAGAGAAACATCAGTGATGAGAACCATTGATTGGCTGTCTCCTGCACACCCCTTACTGGGGATTAAGCCCACAATCTGAGCATGTACCATGACTGGAAATTGAATCATGACCTCCTGGTCCATACATTGATGCTCAACCACTGAGCCACACCAGCTGGGGTAGAGATGTACATTTATCACTGCCCCCATAAGCCTTGTGTTTCTTTTCTTTTCAATAGCAAATTATTAGCATGGGATTTTAATCACAATGTTGAAGTAACAATATTTTATTTAAAGATATATGAATTCTAAATTTAATTAAATTTTATGCATTTTTATCTAGATAATTCGAATGATTCTTATTAATAAATTGAAACTTTTGTTGTTTTGATCTTTCTTTCAATGAGGACAGATCACTTGGAGGTCAGAAACTTACATTTTGATGTTGGATTCTATTGTCAGGCACATTTTTCCCTGACTCCTGTGTAAAGAGTAACTCAAACTACTTGGTTATTTTAAAAAACCATTTAGGGATATTGAACCCTTATCAAAAACTCATCTTTTAATGGTCAAATTCTGAGAGTAATGACAGCTTTAGGCAACAAAATAAATGAATGAATCTAACGTAATGTGGAACAAAGAAACAAGACAAAAGAGTATATACTGTAATGATTCCATTTATATAAAATAAAAAATTGAGCCCTCGCCGGTTTTGCTCGATGGATAGAGTGTCAGCCTGCTGACTGAAGGGTCCAGGATTCGATTCCAGTCGAGGGCATATTCCTGATTTCCAGGCTCGATCCCCCAGTAAGGGCTATGCAGGAGGCAGCCAATCAATGATACTCTCTCATCATTGTTGTTTCTATCTCTCTCCCTCCTCTCCCTTCCTCTCTGAAATCAATAAAAAATACATATTTTTTTAAAAAATCAAAAGTTGACAAAATTAATCTATGTTGTTAGAAGCTGGGTAATGTTTTCCTTTGTGGTGGAAAGGTGAGACAGTGATTAAGAAGTGGTGTGGGGGCATCTTCTAGGGTGCTTGTAATATTGTAATTTTTATTTATTTATTTATTAATATATTTTTATTGATTTTAGAGAGGAAGGGAGAGGGAGAGAGTGATAGAAACATCAATGATAAGAAAGAATCATTGATCAATTAGCTGCCTTCTACACACCCCACACTGGGGTTCGAGCCTAATACCCAACTGAGCCCTGCTGAGAATTGAACTGATGATCTCTAGGTTCATGGGTCAATGCTCAACCACTGAGCCACAGGTGCTGGGCGAGTTTTGCTCTTAAATTTACATCTTCCATTCATTTTGAGTTAAATTTTTGTATATGGTGAAGTAAAGGGAGAGGGAAAATTAACCTTCTGAATGAGGCATTTCACAACTATAATTCCAACTAAAATTATAGCTAATATACACTTAAGGGCCCATCAGATTTATTTTTTAATTAAAAAAAATAATTTCACTAACCTAGTTTCAAAACTATAATTCTTCTACTTGAAAGCAACTGCAGTGGCTAATTAGGCCAAAACCTATTAGCTTTGGAAATGACAAATTGTTAGCCAAACACATTGTACTTTTTTCTGGACAATCAGGCAACAATCATTAGTGGTTGTTTAAATTATTAAATGACAACGCCGAAACCGGTTTTGGCTCAATGGATAGAGCATTGGCCTGCGGACTGAAAGGTTCCAGTCAAGGGTATGTACCTTGGTTGCGGGCACATCCCCAGTGGGGGGGATGGGGGGAGGGTGCAGGAGGCAGCTGATAGATGTTTCTAACTCTCTCCCTTGCTACTAGTTTAGGTCAATTTGGGGAGAATTATCATCTTTTTTTTTTTTAATCTTTATTGTTGATATTACATAGATTTTTCCTTTTCACCCATTAACCTCTTTTAGCCCGCTCTCCTCCCCCTCCCTCAGGCCCTCACCAATGTCTGTGTCCTCGGGTTATGCATGTATGCACACAAGTTCATTGGTTGATCTCTTCCCACCCATCCTCCCCTGCCTTTCCTCTGAGGTTTTACAATCTGTTCATGCTTCTATGTCTCTGGGTCTGTTTTTGAGAACTATCATCTTAACAAAGAGCGTTCAATCTGTGAACATGGTATTTTTATTTACCTAGATTTTTTTTGATAACCCTCAGCTGTATTTTGTAATTTTCAGTATATGGGTCTTGCATTACTTTCATTATATTTATCACATTTTCTGATGCTCTTGTGAATGAAGTCTTTCTAATTTGATTTTTAGGTTGTTCATTGGTGTCATATATAAATATACTGATTTCTGTATGTAGATCTGGTATCTTATGACTTTGCTAGACTTAATAATTTTAAAATCCCCATTTCTTCATGTGTAAAATGGGGCTAGCTAATTGGGGTTAGTAAGGTTTTTGTGTGGAATAATAGAGATAAAATCTCATCAGAAGTCTAGACATGAAGCTCCTCCTCAAAAAACAATCCAACCACCTAAAGAGTGCCTTCTCTCTCTGGAGCAGAGTGCCTTCTCTCTCCTATTCCTTCCCCCAGGCGAGTTTTCTTTCCCCTTCATACTCTTAACTCCTAGGGCCCCTCTTTTGCCTCTGTAACTTTTCTCCTGAGCCCACACAGCCCAGCTGGCTCACTTCTACCTCTGTGACTTTCTAATGAAACTTTTGCTTGTATTTAAAAAAAAAAGAAAGAAAGAAAGAAAAAGAAATTCAACCACCTAAAATGAGGGGCTACATTAAAAAAAAAAATGACTATAATGGCCTTGGTATAGACACAGGAAACAGTCAGATAGTATCATATCTGAATTTGCATAATTAAGAGGCTTTGCTGCATTTTCGTTAATATAGTGAGCAGACAATTGTTTATATTTTCTACCATTTGCATGTATTGTTTTCATAAGTAGAAGAAAACAACAGGTGTTATTTCTTTAAAAGTAAAAAACAGTAATCCAAAAGAAAAAAAAAGGGAGGGGCATTAGCGGTAGAGAGCACGTTTAAAGGTATGGAACTAATAAATAATGAGGAATAAAGAAATAAAATGAAGTCACTATCGTCAAGCTGCTAAATTATTAAAATCAAGTGGGCTGAAGAATGAGGAAATGACTCTATCCTTGCCTTACTTGGCTTGGGGACTTAAAAACTTTCCAGTGGAGTGTCAATGCCTAGATGAACATTATTTCCACAGATAACCATCTGAACAACTCAGGAGAAAACGTTGCATTATCCAGACCACTAGACCCTTGGAAGATTACAATCTCGGACCAACCCATCAGCAAAGAATGCAGGACTGATTCTCCTCTAGTATGTTCTTTTCTTACTCAAAGACCTCTCAGCTCTCCTTGCTCCTTTGGAACACCCTGGACATTAACTACTAGCTGTGTTTTCAGTTTGCACACCCTACTTCCCTTGAGTACATCTTTGTCCTTTGTTTCTGGCCAAAAGCCTCCTGACCTGGGTTGTCTGATTTCAAAACACCGAGGCTCTGGGTTCAAATAGGTGCACGTGCTGAAGAGGTGCGATGCAATGTGGCGCTGCTGGGAGCAAGGGGTCCCTAGAAGCAAGGACACACGAAGCCCTGTTCCATGGTGCGACCCGGAAGGCCCTCCAGCCTTGCTCCCCCTCCCGGCTGGCTTCGGCACGTTCCCGGCCATTGGCGACAGACCCGGTGACCTGCCTGAGCCTTTTGCTGAAGGCTAAGCGGCGCCCTACACCCTCCAACACCCGCTCAGGGAGAAGGCGGCAGCGCCCACCAGGGCGTCTACTGTCCTGGACCGGAAACCAGACCTAGAGCGTCACTCGGGTGGGCGGTGACCGTGAAGGCGGAACTGGAGCCGCAGCTGGGGGCGGGGCTTCGGAGCTCCTCCGCTTCTTATTGGCCCTGACCACTGCTAGTCTCGGCCTCCTTTCCGCCCCCACCTTTTCCGCGCTGGCCTTCAGCTAAATGACGGGCGGGGCGGGGCGGGGCCGGGCCAGGGGCGACTTCCGGTAGGGGAAGAGAGTTGCAGCCTAGGAGCGGCCGCCGAGAGGTGGAGGAGGAAGAGGGAAGCGCCGGGCGGCGGCTGCAGTAGGAGCTTGGCTGTAAGGTTGTCTGGGGCGGCGGCGGCTGCTCTCTCCCCGGCGGACGATGGACAGCCAGGGCAGGAAGGTGGTGGTGTGCGACAACGGCACCGGGGTAAGCTCCCGGCGGGGAGGCCGCGGTGGCCCCGGGTCCGGGTGGGGCGCACGGGCCCTAAGGCGCGCGGGGTTGCACCCCTGGGCCCTGGAGCCGCCCGGGCCGACGGGCGCGGGGCAGCCCTTCCCACCTCCGTGGATGTAGGGAGCGAGGGCCCTGGTCTCCCAGGGCTCACCACCCCTCATCCCCTCATCCATCCGGGCCGGGGCGGCGGGCGAGGCCGGCTCTGCGCGGGGACCCACGCCTGCTGCCCTGCGGGGGCCGGTCCGCGCCCCGAGCCGGGCAGTTTGGCTAAAGGCTCCGAGGGGTGAAAGCCTAGGTTTGTGGGCTCGGGAAGGGCTTCGATGCCCGGGTCGCTGGTGTGTGAAAAGGGGAAAGAGACCTAGAGGCCTTCCTTTTCCTGTGTAGGTACCGAATGGGAGGCAGGAAACGGGTTTAGAGAGAGAGAGAGAGAAAAAAAAGGAAGTACTGTCAGTGCAAGCCTCAGCCCTGCAGCCGTTTTGAGATTTTGTGTGTGTTTCTTTTTGAGGGAAGTAGGGGCCACATCGGAGTGCATAATTTACTTTTTGTTCTGCATGCCGGGGATTTTGCCCTCGGTGGTTCCGCTGAGACCAGCATGCTCCATTGATTGGCCCTGGGACAGCCAGCACCCCTCCAGCAGTCCCCGTGTTAGTGCCGCTGACCTTAGGGGGAAGTTCATCAGTTTAGGCACTTCCCTCTCCCCGATTTTCATTTTTAAAAAATCTTCACCGGGGAATATGTTTATTATTATTATTATTATTATTATTATTGATTTCAGAGAGAGAGGAAGGGAGAGGGAGAGAGAAACATGGATGTGAGAGAAAGAAGACCATCATGGGCTGCCTCCCACTCGCACCCCCTGGGGATCAAACCCGAAACTTGGGTATTGTTGTGCCCTGACCGGACTCCAACAGAGACCCTTCGGGGCACGGACGCTCCAACCAATGAGCCACACTGGCCAGGACCTCCCCACCCCTTCACCCCCGCCCCGTTTTTGTCCTTAGATACAGATTACAGATAATGTTAGTCTTTAAGATACTAAAATGCAAATAATTGTAAAAAACTGATTAAGAAATTGTTTGAGAGCTGTTTCTTTCCTACGCACCGCCCCCCCCTTCCCCTCTAAAATTGTATTTTGGGGCAGCCAAGTCAGCAAATTAGAAGACAGAAATGCTACTTACTTTGGATGAGTTCCATAGTGATAACTTTCTCCTACATTACAGTGATGTCTAACCATTTTGGAGTTGCATACTTTGGGACTTTTCTCCCCCTTCTTCCATAAATGTGACATAGGAATTAAAAAAGATTTTACTTGAACTTTAAAACATTTTGACAGCTGGATTGTTGAGGAGGGGAAAGGACCTAATATTCACTGCGGTAATACTTCCCTTGATGGAATTTGTTACAGACTTTTTTTTTTTTTTTTTTTTTTAATATATTTTATTGATATTTTACAGAGAGGAGGAAGGGAGAGAGATAGAGAGCTAGAAACGTCGATGAGAGAGAAACATCGACCAGCTGCCTCTTGCACACCCCCTACCGGGGATGTGCCCGCAACCAACGTACATGCCCTTGACCGGAATCGAACCCGGGACCTTTCAGTCCGCAGACCGACGCTCTACCACTGAGCCAAACCGGCTTCGGCCAGACTTTTACAAATAATAATTATACTAGCTTTATCTGAACTTAGTTTAAAATGGTCTTGAGTAATAAGGGTGTTATCATATAATGGGACATCATACAAAATGAAATAATTAAAAAAAAAAGAGGCAGATTACTGCTATTGAAGTTGTCTAATATTTATTGTTAAGTTAAAAAGTGATCCCATTTATGCAAGTGTTCTTTATTAAAAATATACGTTCACAGATGTGTGTGTGTATATGAAAGTTTTGGAGGGATACATAAGTGTTCATTGTGAGACTAGGTATAACGGAGTGAGAGAAGATGAGGACTTCATAACTCTTTCTAATTATTGGGAAAATGTTTTGTGTTTTTAACAAGACATGTACTGTTAAATTATCTTTAAACAAAAGAAACTATAAACATTTGTTACTTTTATAGTTAAAACTCAGTTAAAGGTACTTTTTAAAAGAGATTAGTCTCAAGTTGGCCTCTAAATAAATTTAAAGCTCTAAAAATTGAATTTTAAACATTTTGTTTGGTGAATATGCCAGATAATTCTCTTTAGAAATATGAGCCAGTTAATGGACTCCTCTTTTTAAAAATTTTTTTTTAATTTTTAGAAAGAGTGGAAGGAAGTGGGAGAGACACAGAGAAACATTGGTTATAGAGACATATTGCTTCCCACACGCCCTGACCGGGGCAGGGGGGGAGGGGAGAAGGGGGAGGGGGGGAAGATGGAGCTTGCAACTGAGGTATGGGCCCTTGACCCGAATCGAACCTGGGACCCTTCAATCCGCAGGCCAGTGCTCTGTCTGCTGAGCCAAATCTGCTAGGGCTGATTCCTCTTTTTTTTTTTTTTTTTTTGGGTGGGTGGGGGAGGGCGGGAGGAGTGGTAAAGGAGGAAGAGAGATGATTCCTCTTTTTTGAAGGCTAATGAACCCTATATTTGTAATGAGTTTTGTGATGTTCAGTGAGAATAGGGATGTTAACTGTAAGCTCATTAAAGAAAAATTTGTTTTTAATTGTTGAGAGAGACCATCAGGGTTTAAACCTGCAACCTAGGTATGTGCCCTGACCGGGAATTGAACCTGCACCTTTTGTGTATGGGACAACACTCCAAGGAGCTGCACCGCCCAGGGCCATGAGCTCATTTTTATGTTACTATTTCATTAGTTTAGCTATGTGAGGAAGCTGATTGTATATTACTGATTAGTCTTATTCTAATTAATAATTTAAGGATCTTGTTCTTTAAGACAAAAGATCAGTTACTATTACCTATATAGGAAAATGTGTAGCTGGTTCAAGTAAGAATATATTTGGTGTTGCATTTATATTTTTAGATTTTATTCAGATTTTCTATAGATATAATCAACTTTCAAATGAAGAAACAGTTCTGATATGTCCCAGGTTCAATTCCAGTCAAATGTAAATGCCTGGGTTGTGGGCTCGATCCCAGTAGGGGGCGTGCAGAAGGCAGCTGATCGATGATTCTCTCTCATCATTGATGTTTCTAACTCTTCCTCTCTGAAATTAATAAAAATTATTTTAGAAAATAATAATAATAAAAATTTAGAAAAATAGGAACCACTTAGATTTTATATTTTTTTATAGTTATCTTGATTTTATTTAGTTAGCTGAAGGTATAATGATTCCTTTACAACAATATATTAAACAAGATATTAAAATTTAATTTCTAAAAACTTGTGGAAATAGTTCTTACCCTAAAACAACTTGCCTCTTACACGTTTTAGGTTTTAAAGTTTTAATTATAGGCAATTTGAGAAGTCGATGATTTTTTTTTAGCTCTTCTAGCAGGCCCTAAGTCGAATGCTCACAGAGTAAGTGAGTTCTTATGATCACATGCTAGCCCCCAACCAGTTTCTCATTAGGGCAGCATAGTGGAGGAAAACTCGCCCAGTTCCAACAATTTATTTGCTTCATCCTCATAACTGTTCAAACCTACTACCTAAAATAGAGCCACTGAAAGTGGCCAAATAGGTGGAAATCTGAATATCGGCTTAGGTTTAGATGCTTGTCAAGAGTTCCTCCAGGCCTCTGCTGTTGTGTATTCTGTTGTCAGAGGGGTGATTTCATCAGCAGCGAGTTAGCTCACCACTCACAATGAAGACAGCTGCCTACCAGGTGTCTGGTAGTTCTTAGGGACTAGTGATACAAAGTAGCTAAAAATGCTAGGATAATTATATTTTCACTAGTGGCCCCGTGCACAGATTCCTGCACGTTGAAAGGAAAATAATTAGAAGAAATATTTTAATACTCTAATTGCTCTTTCTCTGTAATGGGATGCTGGTCACAGTCTGTGGGGCGATCAGGCTCCCACCCGCCTCCCTCAGTGCCTGGAAGCCTGCTCCACCATCCTGCTGTGCTGTGGTCCTGCTTGTTGGGGCCCATCAGAGACAGCAGGGCCTCCACGGCAACCTGCTGCCCGTGACACCCCCTAGTGATCAGTGCACATCGTAGTGATTAGTCGAACTCCCGGTTGAGGGGACAATTTGCATATTAGGCTTTTATTATATAGGATTTATAATTCCCATTTGTATTTGCATATGGCCGGCTCTAGCTGGCTTATGTTAATTTATTTTGCTGAATTCAGGAGTGTTTGGAAATAGAAATAAATAAAAAACAAGTTTGTTTTTCCCTGGCTGATGTGGTTCAGTAGTTAGAGTGTCTGCCTGCACACTGAAGGGTCAAAGCCACTGTACTGGAGTTGCAGTTTCCACCCTTGGTCCCCATCAGTGCAGGAGGCAGCCAATTGTGTGTGTGTGTGTGTGTGTGTGTCTCCCTTTCCCTCCCTCCCTCTCTCTTCCTTCCACTTGCTAAAAATCAATGGAAAAAATAGCCTCAGGTCAGGATTAAGAAAAAAAGAAAAACAACAACACCTCACAACACAAAAGATTTGGTTTTATCCTGTAAAATGCTTGGGAATAAATAGAATGACTATTTTGGTTGTGTGAGATCAGGATAATCACTATGAAATTAAAGTAATATAGCAGTACTATCAGATAAATTAATAAAGAAAAATACAATAAGTCCAAGTGAAGCTTTATAAATCTGTTTGTTTTTTGAGAGAAAAGATACTTTTAGAGCAAATGTACAGGAAGTTTTTTTTCATCTTTGCTTGAAAGAACATTATAGTGTGAGATGTTCTTACCATTTGATGACTCAGTGGGAAGTAACGGAGCCAGTTTAAACCACAGTGCTATGAAAAGGAAACTATATATGGTAAAAAGCTATTTCTTAAATACAGACTTATTGCACACAATTAGAGAACTAAGTCTCCAAGTCTTAAAATGATTGGAGTGGGGGAGGAATTTCAAAGTTTAAATGATGCTAAACGAGTAGCTTAGGAAAGAATATTTTCTTTTCATTTCATCACATCATAGTTTAGATTTAGATTTTTTTTAAATACAGTCTTTTTTTTTCTTCTTCAAGAAAAGAAATGCTGGATTGTCTGTTAGTTTCTATTATCAAGGAATATAGTTTATTATAAAGGTATTTGTGTTATTATAGCTATCTGTGCTTTCACATTTGAAATAGTGCAGACATTGCCATTTTGACCAAATTATCTTATACCCTGTAGGAATGCTAACACTAGATTACTATGGCAACAAATGCTTGTAATAAACTACTTAAGCAGAGTAATTTCATTAACAAGTGAGTGATAGCTGTAATTTGAATTAAAAGCCACATTTTCCTTTTTTGTAAAGCACAGGAATAGCAGGTTTACAATTGTTTTTCTAGTTCAGGTCGGGGAGGGTTCTCAGTTTTTGTCTTCTTACCTCAGGCACTTGGGAAATATTTTGTCCCTTGAAATATATCCAAACAGGAGTTTTAAGATATGAACTACCCATCTGAATAGTGAATAATCAGAAAACACTGAGTGATGTGATTATTTATGAGTTGCCTCATTGCATCATTCTGAAAATGAGGCCTGACCATAGTGAGAGGAGAAGCATATCAGCCTTCCCAGCCTCCTAGGACTTGACTTAAGCCCCATCCAAAGCTCTTCCACCTTCACCTTCTATTATGATTTCACACTTAAGTCATTTGTTTACATTTAAAATGCTGAAAAAGGCCCTCCCAGACTTAGCGATTCTTTTTTCAATCGATTCATTTTATAGTTTTCCTTAATACTTTGAGGTAAATGTAAGAACTTATTTACTTTCTATATTTGGACTACATATATAAATTATGACTAATACTTATATTAGGCTGGTGATCACAATAAATTTTATTTATGTAGAAATTTCAGTATGGCCAAGATAATAACAGATTCTCTACCCTCCCATATCATTTCGGTTTTCACATCGAGTGAACTGGATTTTTTTTTTTAAAAATATATTTTATTGATTTTGTACAGAGAGGAAGGGAGAGAAATAGAGAGTTAGAAAGAGTCATCATCGACCAGCTGCCTCTTGCACACCCCCTACTGGGGATATGCCCGCAACCAAGGTACATGCCCTTGACCGGAATCGAACCCGGGACCCTTCAGTCTCCAAGCCGACGCTCTATCCATTGAGCCAAACCAGTTTTGGCTGAACTGGATTTTGACTTAGTTCTGATCAGGGCAGAGCCCAGCCTGGCCCTGGCAGGGACAAGGAGTCCCTCATCTTCTCCTTCTGAAGGCAGTGAGACAAGGAGCTGTGCTCCCCGCCAGGAATAGGAGGCAGCGCTGCCACATGCCAACGAAGCAGATTAAACAAAGGCCCAAGTCCGCTCACCTCTAGCTCAACTCATCTTACAGCCTGGTCCTCACATAAATAGCACCTGGCCTGCACACTTTCCCAGAGTTCCTCCACACACCCCAGAGGCCCAGGTTTTAGAGTGGGGAGGGCAGAACACAGGAGAGGTTTCCTGAAAGTGCCCACAGTTAGGCCCTGGAGGGAAGAGAATCCCTGCACTAGTGGGTCCCAGGGTCCCAGAGCTCTCCTCTCTGTCAGGACCACACCGCACCACGAAGCAGCGGGGACAGTCTGCCTAACCACGGAGTCCTGCTGGGCTGAGAGGCATGACTTGTATTTCTGTGCTGCCAAGAGGTTGTAGCTAAAGCTGAAACATTTCTCAGCAGCCTCCCTGCTAACCTTCCCTTTCCCCCTGAAGTTTTTAATGGCATTTTTCTTGCAATGTCTGCTCTTAAAAAATAAGACCAAACAGACTATATTATTGGTATAAAAATTTAAAGACCGTTGGTTCTATTTTCAGTTTTGCTGTAGTTGTTAAGTCTGCTAGTATATCAGTTCCTTATGCATAAAATGGAAGTAAAGTCAATAATGATATGCCCTCATTGGAGAAGTATACTATCTGAATATGAAATTTTTACCTGATATTACTAAATACATTTATTTAAATATAAAACTGTTAACAGCTCAAAATGCCTACTAAGTTTATTTTAATATGATGCTAGTCCAGACTCCATTTGATTTTTCCCATTTTGGAAAATGAGTTGCTTAAGTGAATTGCCAGCTGAATGTAAGTGTGCTTTAGAATTAAAACTTTAGCTCTGTTGCTCATGTTCTAATATTTCTCTTTTAAAAATAGTTGTTGTTGCCCTGGCTGGGTGGGTTGGTTGGTTAGAGCAATGCCCTGACACACCAAGATTGTGGATTAGGGCTCATAGAAGAATCAACCAATGAATGCTTATTTATATGGGTGGAACAACAAATCAACCAATGAATGCATAAATGGGTGGAACAATAAATTAATGTTTCTCTCCCTCTCTGTCTCTAAAATCAATAAGTAAGTTTAAAAAAAAAAGTAGTTCATTGAATTTGCCCATTTCCCCCAATATTACTTTTTTTTTCAAAATTTAATTTTTAGAGGAAAGGGGAGAAAGATCGAAGAGCAAAACATCAATAAGCTGCCTCCTGCATGCCCCCCACAGAGGATCCTGCCACCATGCCATCCTGGCAAATGGCCTGATGGAATTGAACTGGTAGTCTTTCAGTACGTGGGATGATGCCTAACCACCTAGCCACACTGGCCAAGGGTCAAATACTTCTTGGGTGACCACTGTGTATCAGGACCTCTTTGAGGCATCAAGATGCAACATGCTGCTCACCTGAGCTCCCTGCTTTCCTGAGGCTTTCTCTGTAGTGAGGGACTTAGGCACTAAGTAATCAGTTTACCGGAAAATAAACATGATCTCCAGTAGTAGTCAATGCCATAAAGGAAATAAAACGAGATATGATAGATTGGATGGCCAGTTTAGATCATTTGAAAGTATCCAAAGTTAAAAATATTGTATAAATGCAAAGTGGTATTTTTCAGAGATATATTTTTTAATGTATTGATTGATTTTTAGAGAGAGGAAGGTAGAGGGAGAGAGGGAGAAACATCACTCGGCTGCCCCTGAGCTCCTTGTACTGGGATTTGAGCATGTGCCCTCATCGGAAAAGGTATTTGCGACTTCCTGGTGCATGGGATGACATCAGCCAACCGAGCCACACCAGCCTGGCTCAGATACTGTTTTTAAATGGCTATGGTAAATACTCGACTAACACACTTTTACTATTCTCTTCCAGTTTGTGAAGTGTGGATATGCAGGCTCTAACTTTCCAGAACACATCTTCCCAGCTTTGGTTGGAAGACCTATTATCAGATCAACCACCAAAGTGGGAAACATTGAAATCAAGGTAATATTTTATTTATTGATAAATGAGGTTCAAAACCTGTGAGATGTTCTTTGAATTAAGTAGTTTTAAAATATGATGCCATGAAAAGCAAAGGGGGAGGGCAGAATTTCTTATATTTTTAATTTATATCAACACCTGAAGAAAGGCACAAAAACTGGAATTAATTTTACCTACCTGTAAGTATGGCTTGATGTCATTACTCTCTGAATGGAGTAAAACATTTAAGATTTTTACATGAATGTGAATTATAATTTTTAAAAGAAAGCCTGGCATTTTTATGTTTTTTAGTTCCATATATTTGTCATTATATGTTAGTGTTTCTTTGGTACTTTAAGACTTTTCCTTTCATGTAATCATGGCCTGATCCCCCTACATTTTTATATAGTTAGTCAGGAAAACACAGGATGTAAATCTTATTGTTTCCCTTTTTTGCTAATATAATAACTGGTTTCCATGATGTGCAGGAGGAAGCGTACAAGTCTTTATGTGGTCTTGCATTATTACCTTCCCAGAAAGAGCAAAGAGGGAAGGTTATCATTTCCTACTCACTGTGCCTGACACTAGAGACTCAGCATTAAGGATGATGGGTTTTTCTCCCATTTAAAGGGATTGGAAATCAAATGGGAGTTAGGATATTTTAGAAGAAAAAGGAAACAGATCAACCAAAAGGATTGTTGTCACCAATTGACTTAAATTCTTCAGGTGGCCTAGGGGTCAGGTTATACAAAATGCAGTAGAATTTAGGGGCTCTCTCACTGAATAGTTTGTGAACAAGCTAGCATTGTTGATCTTATCTGGACAGTCTTTGGCAAGACTTCAGTGAACTATTAAGATTATGAGTCACTTGAAACATGAGTTAGGGTGAGCTTCTTTGGGACATTTGTTTGAACTTTCTAGTAAGGTGGTAATAGGCAGTAGAGATTTGCTGCTTGGTAGCCCTCTGCTCTTGGGATTAGAGTTGAATTGGCAATGAATAAAAATATAAATTGACGCTTAGGTTCTTTGTTAATTTCTTAAAGACTTAAAATAATGAATTATGCTGGCCTCTTGTTATTTTAGGGATAATCAAATGGGACACTTGGTGAGTGTTTTCATTGTAAGGACTTTTCTTTTGGGACATTTATGGGATTCCTTACTCTCTTTTTTGTGAATTTTTGTTCTGATTGAATTCGATCTTCAGTAGACTTTGATTTAACATTTAATAATAGTGAGAAGGATAAAATTTTAAATCGAGTAGAAAGTCTTTTTATTTGTTATCAGGTTTGTAAAGAATTTTTTAATGTACATTATGGTATTAACATTTTTAAGGTATTAAGGTATATCACATATTGCCATTTTTATTCTTCACCATAAGCACGAATGATTACATATCTTTTAACTCCCATTTTCTAGCTTTTTAAGGCCAAGTAATAGAAATTAAACTAGTCAGTATATCAATGAGATTTTTTTACTAAGGAATTCCCAATAGCATTGCTTGTATGGTTTGTCATTCTGTGTTCTGTTGGCTCAGTTCTGTTCAATCTGCTTAGTCTTTTAAGTCTTTCAAGTTAAATTGTTCTTCCGGTAAAAGACAGACATCTGTAAGATTTAACTTGACTGTTGGAGCTTGGAAAAACAACTCTAACCTTATGCTCTGCTTACCCAGCTACACCTTTCCTGTTATCATTTATTTTCCTTAATTAAGGTTCTTAAATTCAGTAATGAATTTAAAGAAACTTGACTTTTTGGAATTCCTCTGTCTAGTGTATTGACTTAAACTTTTTGTGTCTTGTTAGCTAGAATGTGGTGGTAGACTTAAAAAAATACTGGGAAATTTAAATTGTTTAATGAGTTAATTTTCATTCAGAAGTAATAACTTTCCATGTTAATTTGGCCCTAATTATTAACTCCGTAAAATAAAGTAGTACTGCATCTGACCTCAACCTAATTGTTCTTTGTTGCTTGTATGTTTTAAAAATTTCAGTGAGGATTTTATTTAGGCCTTTTCTGACTCTTACTTCTACCTTCTCTCTCTTCACCTTTCTTGACCTGTTGAAGTAGAATAACAAAAAGATGGTAAGTGAGGTTATACACATGCTCTCTGTTTGTTTTCCACTTTTGCTTGGTGGGACAGTAGTTATTGTTTTGTGTCCCTTTAGTATTGGGGAGGGGGGTAGTTCCGTATTTTAATTTTAAGTACTTTGATCCTATACTTTCCTGATTGCATACAATGGATCAAACCAGAACTGATTTACTAACATAGTTTTGAATTGTTTTCTTGTGTTTCTTATAGATGAATGTTATAATTTAAATGGAATGAAGTGTGCATAATATTAGAAACCAAGTAGTTTTTATAGGATATGTGTGATCCAAAAGATTGGGGTGAAGTTGTTACATTCGGATAAATTCACTATATTGATCAATGTCAAATTGAACATTGCCCATCATACATAGCTTGTATATGTATTTTCACCTAGTACAGTATCATGTGTTTTTAATAAACAGTTAAAATTTTAATATGCAAATGATATATAGAGAGTTAAGAGTAGGAAATTCCTATACTACCCTTATTGATGAGCAGATTTTATAACATTATCAGAGGAAAAACCAGTACACGGTGAGTCTTCTTAGACTTTTCCATAAACACCAGGTTTCCCCGTAAGTAACTGTGGCACCTTTTTCTTTTGAACTGGAAGCTTCTGGGTACATCCCAGACAATTTACTCCTTCATTGTGTTTTTTTCTGTGATAGTCTAAATGCTTCTGTAGTAGGTTATTTTCAAATTTGTTTTTTATTATTTGTAAGCAGCTTTGAGAAAGATGAATGATAGGCATTTCTAGTGATATATATTTTAACTAGTAAGATTAACTTTGTGGAGTTTTCTTTTGATTAAGCAAAAACATTTAAAAGTGGAAATTCTTATATTTATCTTAAATAAAAGATCATGCCTTTTCTTAATATCCTTAGGAAATTTGAGTCTATTTGGAGAGAACAGTGTAGACTTAATTTCACAAATGTTTTTTAAGGAAATTCCTTCTAGGATCTAAATTGTGGTTTTTAAAGTGTTTTTGCTCTATTTTTCAATTTGAGGTGATGTTGTGCAAATGATTCTTGGCAAATATAACCTATACTGCTTGCTTTTCATAATATATAAATGCTTTTTAAATAGCATCTCAGAACAGTTTCTATGGTTTTTATTCTTTCAGGTAATAGGTGATGGTTTAGGCTTGAGGTCCATTGATGAGGTGGGTGGTAAAAACCTGAGGCCTGATCTGACCACTTTATAAGCTGGTTCTGAGGTATGAGGGCAAGCTTCATAAAACTCTTAGTATTTTTGGTTTTTTGGAAGGAAAATGTTCTAAGGAAAATTTACATGTTTAGGATTTGGATAAATTTAGGTAACTTGAGCTACTCAAATTTTAAACTAACCTAATAAGTTAAAACTTGTTTTCTTCCATTTTACATGTTGTCTTTGTTCAGAGGGATGGTAAGATACTTGATGCCAGACATTTATTTCAGTTAGTCTTTTAGAGTATCTATTTCCTAGACATAGATACAGGAGGCTTTTATTTTTAGTTGGCATTGGGTCTGATATACTTAAGCTCCTATTTTTGCATGGAATGAAAATTAATATTCTGGTAAAATTTGTTGTAATGTATCATGAATGTATATTGATTTATGCAAATTACCTAATTATCTAGTGTATTACCTTGTACAACACAAAGATATATTCTAAAGGAAAGAAAGTTAACAAAATTGTGTATTAAATTATATTTGTTAATGGCCAAAAGTAATATAAGCACTTACAGGTATAAATATCTTCCTTAACATTTTATTAAGAAGTTTTAAAATATATAGCAAAGTTGAAAAAAATTTATAGTAAAATCCATAGACCCATCACTTAGATCCTGACATTAACATTTGCTATAATGATATATCGTATATGTAGCCATCTATCCATTCATCAGTCTGTCTTGTTGTTTTTTTTAATTTTTTATGTATTTCAAAGTATCAGTATACTTCATCCTAAATAATTCAACATACCCATGTAATTAAGTAGAGTTCACAAATACAGGGTTTTAGTGTTGCATTTCCTATCAGATGATGCTAAATAGTTAATATTGAAGTAATTTGAATATTAAGTTGTGTTAAATGAATTTTATAAAATACTAGTTGGAACACATAAGTTTGCGAGAAATTTCTAGGATCTGCTTTAACTATCCCCTCTTTTTGTTGTTGCTTCAGTGGATTTTGCAGAAATCTTTTATTTTTTTAATGAAAGGTTTCTGCAAAATCATGGTTTTACCTCTGATCTTTAAAAAAATTATTACTTTTAAACGTTTTAATCTTATATACACAAGTTGTCCTCCAAAAATGTATACATACTTTGAATAATCATAAAGGCAATGTTTATTATTCTTTAAAAAAAACACAAAACAGCAATTGAGCTATCAGCTATTGAGTATATATACATTTTGGGGGGGTACTCTGTATATTTAAACCTCTGTTTTAAGACTTTAATTTTGCTGTTTCTTTTATTTTCCCCATGTTTTAAACTTAAGGTATTGTAATGAATAGTTGGTATGTCTGATGCTAGTTTTTTAAAAAATTTATCAGTACATGTAGAAATTAGGATTATTTAATATCTTGATTAGCTGATTTCTAAAATAAGTTTAAGTTCTAGGACATCATTAGCTTTTTTATACATATAAAATTTGGCTTTTCAAATATGGGTCATTTTAAATATGCTCTCATTGGAGATAAGACTTGTGAGTATTCTGCTTCCTGTGTCATAATTTTCTAATGTTACACTTTAGGATAAAAAATGTTGTTCATGAAATAATTTAAAAAATCTGTTTCCCTGTGTCTTATTTTTTTTGTATCTCTACAAATATTCATTTCTCTTGATGAGCCACATATAGAAACTTAATTCTAATTCAGACATGTAGGTAGAAGTTTGTAAAATTTACAAGTTATATGGTGCATATATTGTAGTGTAAAAAGAATCATTTCTTGCTTTCATTATTCTTTATAATACCTGTCATTTTGATATTTAGTACAAAGGAATGTGCTGCATGCGCTGAGCATTTTTTCTGGCAGTTTCTTTCCCCCTGATGTGCTATTTCACATATCACAGGCCTTATTTTTTGAATATTTGAGCAAAAGAAATAGATGAAAGCTCATACAAAACCCTCCAAAATATGAAAATGTGGGGTTTATTTGTGCTAATGCCCTTCTTTTGGAAACATATGTATTAAAGGTAAGGTCATTTAATTGATTTAAACCACATTGTATATAAAAATATATTAAAGTTGGTAAGACATTGTTCTTGAAATAAAAGATTTTTAACTTTTGGAATGAAATACTTGATCTGAATGTGCCAGAAAGATTAAAATTATTCCCAAATTGAACCAAAATATGAGAATATAATTTTCTGAAGATATTTTATACAAAATTTGATTGGTCTTAAGCTTTAATATTGTAATTTTTAGGACCTTATGGTTGGTGATGAGGCAAGTGAATTACGCTCCATGTTAGAAGTTAACTATCCAATGGAAAATGGCATAGTGCGAAACTGGGATGACATGAAACACCTGTGGGACTATACATTTGGACCAGAGAAGCTTAACATAGATACCAGAAACTGTAAAATCTTACTCACAGAACCTCCTATGAACCCAACCAAAAATAGAGAGAAGATTGTAGAGGTAAGTGTTTAGATAGAATGTATAATGTATATGTTTCTGAGTTGTTGTTGTTTTTTCTTTCTAAAAATATTCTTTTATTCTACCATTGTTGGTAAGGGTAAAAATAATTGTTGTTTCTCCCCGGATCCTGTTTACTAAGCACCTAACTCTATGCTAGTCTTTATTTCTAAGTAGGCTGTAATGGTAAATGAAACAAAATTTTGCCGCCATGGAGCTTCCATTTTATTTTATTTTTAAATATATTTTATTGATTTTTACAGAGTGGAAGAGAGAGGGATAGAGAGTTTGAAACATCGATGAGAGAGAATCATCGATCAGCTGCCTCTTGCACACCCCTACCGGGGATGTGCCCGCAACCAAGGTACATGCCATTGACCGGAATCAAACCTGGAACCTTTCAGTCCGCAAGCCGACGTTCTATCCACTGAGCAAAACCGGTTTTGGCGGAGCTTCCATTTTAGAAGGGCAAAACACACACACACACACACACACACACACACACACACACACCCCTGTGATTTAATTGAATGGTTTGTTAGGAGATAATAGATGCTAAAGGGGAAAAAGAGCAAGTTAAGGGAGAGGGGAAATGGGGGGAGGTTGCATTTGTACCTAGGGTGTGGTAGTGGCCCTGTGTGAGAAGGTGATGTTTAAACAAAGACACAGTAAGAGAGTTGGCCAGGATATATGGGGAAGAGCATTTCAGTCAGGCAAAGGGAGGAGCCAGAGTAAAGGTCTTAGAATGAGTGTAAGCCTAACATAGTAAAGGGCCAGCCAAGAAGCTAGTGTGTTAGAGTAACAGGAGAGTAGGTCAAAGAAGTAACGGGGCCAGATCACTAGGATTTGTAAGCTCTTTTTTTATTTTTTATTTGTTTTTATTGATTTCAGAGAGGAAGGGAGAGGGAGCGAGAGCTAGAAACATCAATGATGAGAAAGAATCATTGATAAACTGCCTCCTGTGTGCCCTCCTGCTGGGCATGTGCCCGTGACTGGAATCAAACCCGGGACTCTTCGGTCCGCAGGCCAGTGCTCTATCTACTGAGCCAGACCAGTTAGGGCGACCTTGTAGGCTCTTACAGGAAATTAGACTTTTACTTCAAGTAAAATGAAGGGCTATTAAAGAGAAGGGACATGTTCAGATTTAGGTTTTTGTGGCTGTTGTGTTGAGTAGATTATAAGGAGGCAAGGATGGAAGAGAGACCTGTTTGGAGACTTTTCCAGCTATCTTTGCATAAGATAATCATTATTAGGATTGGGATAATAGCAGTGGAAGTAATAAGAAGTGGCCAGATTGTGGATCCTACAGTATTTTGAATTTTCTGATGTATTAAATATAGGTAAGAAAGGGGATGATGCCAAAGGTTTTGACTTGAACAACTGGAAGGATGGGTTAGGATTGGGGGTCAGGGTAGAGATAGATCAGGAGTTTCATTTTGGACATATTAGATTCTCATTTTGACATCTAAGCAAAAGTGTCAGATTGTTGTATAAAATAAGATCAGGTTCAAGAGAAAAGTGTGAAGCTGAGGGTTTAAACTTAGGATTCATCAGGACATAATATGGCTCACCAGCGAAGTGAGAATAGACAGTAGTCCACAGGCTAAGACCTGGGAGACAGGAGGAACAATTGAAATGAGATTGAAATGAGCTAAGCAGTTACAGAGAGTAAGAATTCTACATTCTTAGGTAAGTATCTTCTCAAGGTTGTCTTTCATTTTGTTATATATGAACTACAAACTTTTAATAACAGTATTTTAGTAGCTTTCAGTTACTACTTAATGTAAATATTTTGTATTCTGTATTTAGATGTTGATGGAAAATTTGAAAGGGTTTGGAGATTGTTTTTAGACAATATTTTTTAAGTCTAGATTAAAACTCAGTTTTTGTATTAAGTGTTTTAAAAATATGAGATCATGGTTTGAGGTACAGAATCCATATCATTCCTTATAGTTCATAGGTTTTAATTCTTTTTTTCTCCTAGCTACACCTAAAACTGTGAAAGATGGGTTTTATTGTATTAATTCATATTTTAATTTTATTTTATACTTTAAAATGATTTACAACCACTAATATTTTGTGATGGATAAGAGGTCATTTGTAATTGCTATTTATTTTTAGCAACATAAACCTATTTAGGAAAGCAACATGATGTCTGAATGAAAAACAAATTTTCTTTAAGATAAAAAGTTAGGGAGATGACATTATACCTGGATCCCTTTTACTGTTTAAGGTTTTTTATACACATACACACACACACACTCTCACTCTAGAAGCCCAGTGCACGGCATTCGTGCACTGTGGGGGCTGGAATTCAGCCTAGTCTGCACCCTCTCTCAGTCCAGGACCCCTCGGGGAATGTCCACCTGCGCAGAGCCTCTCCGGCGACCGCTCCTGAGCTCCCCAGCCCTGAGCCCAGCTTCTGGCTGAGTGGTGCTCCCTCTGCGGGAGCACACTGACCACCAGGGACAGCTCCTGCTCTGAGCTTCTGCCCCCTGGTGGTCAGTGTGCATTATAGCTACCAGTCATTCTACCATTCAGTCAATTTGCATATTAGGGATTTATTATATAGGATATGTGTGCAAAAATGCAATGAGTTGGTTTCACAGTGCTCTAAGGTCTTACTCTAATATCTTTTTATTTTTACTTGAGAGTGCAAGTTTGGCTACAAGTAATAATGCCCTACTTTAATCTCATTCAAAATGTTGGTTTTAATACTATAAGTGCTTTTTAATGGCCTTATAAGTAAAAACAACTTGTGACAGACTTTCAGGTTGATAAATGCAAGCACTCTTCCATTTTTAGCCCTGTGGAGGGGGATTAAAGGATGATGGAATAGAGTACTAGTTAGAATATCTAATTGCTCACTGATAAGGATGCAGTTCAGAGTTGTAAAATTTAAATGCTTGTAATTGTGATTGTGGTCAGTTGTAAAATTTCTAAATACCTAGATATTCAGAGTGGTAGTCAGCCCCTACTAGTTAAGGAATGCTCAATATAGAAGACAGAAAAAGTCCTGCCAACATTGTTCTTAGCTAACCTGGCCTACGGGGAATGAGCATGGTTTGGACTAGAGAGGAGAGGAGAAAACTCCTCCCTCCAATGTAGTTCAGCCGAGTGGAGCTACAACCTTAGCTCAAGTAGGGAGTGTGGGCTCAGTAATAGCTAGGCAGTTCTGTATCTGCCAAAATTTAGGAATTACTGCATTATTTTTTGCCTTCCTATTCTGATAATATATATATTTGATTGATTTCACAGAGGGAGAGGGAGAGACATAGAAACCTCAGTGATAAGAATCATTGATCAAAATAAAAATCATTGATTAGCTGCCTCCAACATGCCCCTCCCTACTGGGGATCGAGCTCCAAACCCAGTCAGGGTACTGCCCTTGTTAGGAGATTGAACAGTGACCTCCTAATTCATAGGTTGATGCTCAACCACTGAGCCATACCAGCTGGGCCCTGTTCTATTTTACTACCACTTTTTTTCTTTTAAACTGCTGGAGGTAGTTTGTCTTTGAATTAAAAAAATATTTTCCTTAAAGGACATCAATTAAGAAAGGCTTGCTCAAATGTAGAATGTTTTCTTTTACTCTGATTAGCCATTAATGAAAACATTCCGAAACCTTTGCTTTGTAGCACTTATGAAATGCTTGGGGACTCAGGAAATATCCAGAAACCTATCCCTAAAATTGGAGCTCTCAGAGCGCTGAAGGAAATGGAGGACTCTTAGGTCTCTTGATTCTATTTTGGCCAAAAACATAATTAGAATATGTAACTTCTAAATACCAATATTTTTTTTCTTTCCTTTGAATTTTCAGGTAATGTTTGAAACTTACCAGTTTTCTGGTGTGTATGTAGCCATCCAAGCCGTTCTGACTTTGTATGCTCAAGGTAGGTGAAGATTAACTTTTAGAATAATCAATTCAGCACATATTATGTTTTGTGTCAAAGGAATTTGATTTTTCAATACGTTATAAATCCCAGAAAAGCACAGCACTTATATGTGTTATTTAGTTATTTAAAATATTTAAATATTTTCACAGCTTTTAAAAATTGTCAAATAAAATACATTTTATTTTCCTAAGTAAAAAAAGATTTCTCAGTTTTTTAAAAAAAAGTACTATGTTTCCCTTTTTAGGTTACTTTGAAGTAAAAAGTTTTTATGAAAATGAATATGAAATTTGGCTTCAGAATTGGTAGTTGGGAAAAAGAAAAAAAAGCAGATCTAAAAAGATTAGTATAGCCCAGCTGGCATGGCTCAGTGGTTGAGTGTGACTTATGAACCAGGAGGTCATGGGTTTGATTCCAAGTCAGGGCACATGCCCAGGTTGCGGGCTCGATCCCCAGTGTGGGGCGTGCAGGATGTAATCTATCAATGATATTTTCTCATCATTGATGTTTTTAACTTTCTCTCTCTCTCCCTTCTTCTCTGAAATTTAAAAAAAAAAAAAAATAAAAAAAAAATATATATATATTAAAGTAAATAAATAAAGATTAGTACAAAAGCATGCTTATCAGATACATAACAAATACAAAGAAGGTAGACATTTGGGAGTATTTGCCTAACTTTTGAGGTATAGATTTAATGGAGGGGGGTACTATGTTTTCTTGGAATGCCGTTAGTACCTGGCTCCCTGTCTCTTGGGAATAAAATATTAGTCATGTTAGAAAGAGTTCTTTATATTCTTATGGTCTCGTTGAGGATTGTAGGGCTGCCAGATAGGTGCCACAGAGTCTGTTAGATACTTGAAATATATAAAATTCTAGTCTATCTGAGAAAAAAGATATAAAAACAGCTAATTTTGATTCAGCACACCAGAGGTTTCTGAAGGAGGTGACACCTGAGCTAACCAAGTCTCAAGCCCTAGTACTTAAGCAGCCGTGTGTATGATCTAGTACATATAGATTAAGGTGAGCCATCTGATTCTACATGTGCATTAGTAAAAATCACCATGTAAAAATTACATATTGGTTTTTTTAAAGCTGTCTTTATTATTACATATAGATGCTTAGAAAATACGTAGAGGAACTAAGTGTGGCTAGTACCTTAACACTCTGTTGTGCATAGGATAAGACAGTGAGTCTTCTTGCCTTTAAAGCAATTACAGTCCAGCTATGAGTAGTTTCTCCTTTGAAGAAGGAATCAAAATTCACTTTTTAGCTGGCTGGTTGAGTGTTGACCTGTGAACCAGGAGGTCACAGTTCGATTCCCGGTCAGAGCACAATTTTGAGTAGGGGGGTGCAAAAGGCAGCAGATCAGTGATTCTCTCTCATCATTGATATTTCTCTCTCTCTTTCTCCTTCTCTCTTCCTCACTGAAATCCATTTTTAAAATTAATTTGTTACTTTATAAGGAGTGATTATCTGCATGTAGGTAATTTTGTTTCATTAAAATAAAATAAATTTCAGAATTTATTTTAGAAAATACTTTTTAAAAATTAAAAAATTTTAATATCTAAGCTTTGAAACTGGTGATTATAGTTCAGTTCTGCTGAAATGGAACTTTGGTTTGACTTGGACTTGAATAAAATTGACCTTAACAGATTTTTCTAGCAATACTCATAAATTTATTTTCATTCAATGAGAAGTTATCCTCTCTTAATTACTGATATTTAGCTATTTTTGTTTAACTGTTGAATATTTAATTTGAGAAATGATAATCTAGTGATAATAATCAAAAGAACTCAAGCCATAGTAAAACAAGTTGTCTAGTACTACTAGTTAAAAAAAAAAAAAAAAAAAAAAGGTAGGAAGAAGCATTCAGAGCCATGAAAAAAGATTTTTTATTTTAAATTGATATTTGAGAGAGAAATAGAAACATTGATTTGTTATTCCACTTATTTATGCATTCATTGGTTGATTCTTATATATGTCCTGACCAGGAATCAAACCTGCAACCTTGGTGTATCGGGACGATTCTCTCACCAACTTAGCTATCCGGCCAGGGCCCATGGAAGGTTTTTTGAGTAAGAGAGGTTGTGACATGGTGATTTAGGGAGGTATGTTTGATCTCATGTACAGAGAGGAGTGAAGGGAGTAAGTGGAATTAGAGAATTTGGGCTAGATATTAGAGTGGTCAGGGAAAGTATAAACAAACAGGTAGGTACTGGGTTGAGCCTTAAAAGACCCCATCAAAATTGAAGTAGAGAAAATACATAATCCAATGACAAAAGGGTCACTGAAAATGGGTCAGATGTGTACAGGGAAAGAAAAACCAGTATGCAAGCTGGTGGGAGTGATAGGAAACAATGTGAGGTGGTATGGAGAGGCCTATTTGGAAAATAAATGTAAATACCTGCTGTAATTAATATTACTGGGAGTATTATTGATGTTGTGGATGCCTTTCTATTTTTTGAAATGGAAAGTTTTTCTTAGGAGAATGCAACATTAAAAGGCTGTATATGATTTTCATGAAGCTTAGAATATCAAAAAGGAAAAACAAATTATTTTGTTAGCTTCAAAAGAAGGTGGTTTGAATAAATGTATTCAGAGACAAATCATTACAATTAGATACTATAGTGCATGCAAGTTTATATTGATAAGAAAAGGAGCGAGCTGAGAGCTATTAGGGAATGGGAAAATGATAAAGGAATGCATAAGCACATTATAGATAATGCACATTCTGGTTAAAACATTTTTTAAAATAATTAAAAAATGATTTTTGTGTTGTTTGTTTTGTTTTGTTTTTGTTCCCCCCAAATTAACACTGGTACAAAAGGCAAAACACTAACTTTTGCAGCCATTTATATTTTTAAATAGCACAAATGAGAAACAAGGCAGCTTTTTTGCTGTTCTTTTATTATAAGATTTAATTGACATTGTCTTTCTGGTTTCTGGTGAATAATTGAGGTTATCCTTTAGCTAACCCAGATTACTTGTTCTCAAATTCTAGCTATCTAATATCAAGGGGAATTTCCCTGAAACAGCACAGTTTTGAATATACTATATGGCAAAAATAATAATATAGAATTAGATTGTTTCAACAGGTTCACTATCCTCTTGTGTAGTGTTTACCTTTTACAGTGGTTTTCACAAAAGTTATTTGATATATTTTAGAAAATTTTACTTTAGGGAAATTCGGAGATGAAGATGAAGTTGGAAAGAAAAAGAAGGAATTGCACTGAGTGTTAAAAACATGTATTTCAGGATTGGTTTTTCCCCATTTCTTGGGGTAACACATGATTAGATTAAAATTCTCAGAAGTAGTATGTAAGAGAATACCAACTTTAGTGTCTAATTAGGAATACACTTTAAAATAAATGATAAAGAAATGCTGGCTGCTAGACCATTATGATTAGTGAAGTTTCTAGTTTGGCTTCTATACTAATAGTTGAAATTTTCTGGTTTTGATTTTTCTGATTTGGCTTTACTCTACTTAAAACCTCATGTTTCTTACACAGGCTTATTGACTGGAGTAGTGGTGGACTCTGGAGATGGTGTAACTCACATTTGCCCAGTTTATGAAGGCTTTTCTCTCCCTCACCTTACCAGAAGACTGGATATTGCTGGGAGGGATATTACCAGATATCTTATTAAGGTAAGCAAAAGACAAAGTCCTAGAAGTTGGATTTGTAGTTTGACTTAACACAAAAGTTGACTGAATCATCTCAGGATTCTAGCAAATTTTCTGCATCACTAGTAAAATGGCCCAGTTGCTTCATTCATATAAAAATCCATATGAGATTTATAGACGAGATCTCTGCTATACTAATGAGAATGTGTTATTTCATTATATTATTATGTTTGCTATTCCTGAGGAAAGGATAGAGAGGTATTTAAAAGATAGACGATACCATAAAACTACCTTGAACAACTTAGGCAGCCTTTTCTGCCATAAAGCCTTATTTTGAACAGATATATATCAAAGCTATAATGCTGCTTAGGTTGACTGTTCTTGTCCTTCCCCATAAAACATATCGATAGCAAAGTAATATTTGATTAAAAATAGGGTCCAAATGTGCCCGACTTTAATATATAGTAATTTTCATGGAACATATCCAATTTTCAGTGTTTGGTATTTTAAAGTTTACTTCTCACTGTAGTTAGTTATAATTTTCTTTAAACCATTGCTGGAGAAAGTATATGAGGCCACTGTTTGGAGGCATGAGTATTTTTTTAATGTTTAAAAAAATTGGTTAGAGAATTGTCTGTACCAGAATTCTGTAGTTACATCTCCTCTGGGTCAGTGGCTTTCAACCAGGGATGATGCTGCCCCACAGAGACATTTTGTAATGCCTGGAGACATGTTTTGGATGTTATAACTGCAGGAATGCTATTAAACATCCTGTAATGAACAGAGCATCCTATAATGAACAAAAATTATAGTGTCCACAATGTGTATGGTGATGTCTGTACAATAAATTGGGTTGCATTGAATCTTCATCTTGACATTGAGTTTCTTTAGTCTCAAATTAGAATAATAATGAGGTTAGGTTAATGAGAGTTATAATATACTCATTCTAGGCCAAAGTTCTGTCTTAGGGTAACCACCAAAGGAATTTCCAAGGATGTTACACAAAGATTAGGGGATTTGTTTTTTAGAGATTTTATATGAAAAGTTCAGTTGTGTTTATATGCATATTATGTTTTTATTGGGGATTTGTTTTCCTATTAGCAGGTTGAGTTTTTTCTCCCCCATTTGTTTAATATACTATTATCCATCTGTTGTGTCAGACATTGGTGTTGATTGAGTAGATTGCTGATAATATGAATTTGTGGCTAAAATAATACTTATTTACTAATACTTAATGTTTACAAAAACTTTCTAAACATTAGTATTCAAGCACTACTCTTTCTTAAAACTAGCTTGTTTTACCTGTTACTCATGAACTTTTGATTCTGTTACTCTGAAGCTTCTCTGCAAAACTGAAATAAATTCTTCTAAGGTAAAGTAATGTCCCTGTTTCTGAAATACTCAGTAAGAGCTGAGGATCCACTGCCTATTTCATTTGTTGTTTATGTGACACACTTAGTGAGCAATTACAGCTTTTACAGAGTTGAACTCATTCAGATTAATTGTGAACTTACTGCCTGTTTTTTTTTTTTTTTGTGTGTGTGTGTGTGTGTCAGCTGCTTCTGTTGCGAGGATACGCCTTCAACCATTCTGCTGATTTTGAAACAGTTCGAATGATTAAAGAAAAACTGTGTTATGTGGGGTATAATATTGAGCAAGAGCAGAAATTGGCCTTAGAAACCACAGTATTAGTTGAATCTTACACAGTAAGTATTTCCCGTATTTTAAAATGAATAACAATGTTTATTGCTGTGTGCTTAAGGCGGCTTTCTTGGAATGCAGTTTGTTAATGAGATGTTGAAAACAAATGTGAACTTGAAGTTATAACAAAGAGACTTAGAACTTGGGTATAGTTTATAGGAGGGGATTTTCTCCGACCTGTTTTTTATTTTTTTATTTTTGTTAATCCTCACATGAGGGTATTTTTTCCATTAATTTTTAAACAGAGCAGAAGGGACGGGGAGAGAGAGTCTCATAGATTGGTTGCCTCCTGCACATGCCCTGACCAGGGCTGCAGATTGAGCTTGCATCTGATGTATGTGCCTTTGACCTGAATCAAACCCGGGATCCTTTAGTCCTGGGGATGATGCTCCAACCACTTGGCCAAACCGACTAGGACCAGACATGAATTTTTAATGTATTGCTATCTTAAGTATATCATATGCATCTGGGTATCAAATGCTTCCAGATCTCATCTTTAATCTAATTATTATTAAAATGAAGTAATAATAGGCAATAAAAGCAAGTGTTCTTAAACATTTGATTCATGTAAGCTCTGAATGTCCCAAATATATAGTCATTTTAAAAATAATTACACATTTTTATGAGTTATATTGTCTTATTTTTAAAAATGCAGATACAAATGGTAACCTAATATTGTGTGATCTGCCCCGGATTTGCCTTGGGGATTCTTTCCTGAATCTTTCTTTCTTGATAGTTCCTCTAGATTTATAATTTTATCTACCTGCCTTGTTTGGAAGAAAGTGCATGAGACAAAGGATGAGGGAACCAAGACTGTAGGGCAGGTTTTATTAATTTCCTCCTTTCTCAAAGAATCTGGGGCAGGTTACAAAATATGTACAACAGAAAAGAAACAGCAAACTGATAAGTGAGGAGGGATCTGAGTGAACAAATAAAGGATAGAGTAAGATTTGATGCAAAGAAATGGGAACCATACCGTCCTAACAGTTCCTGGGGATAGGTAGTTCCTAGAGTAGGTGGCTCCAGTGTGCCAGTAGCTAGTGCCCAGGGAAGTCACACCGTCAGAGAGGCTAGAAATGTGAGGTACAGAGATTTTACTAAAAACAGTTTGCCTTGTGTCCTTTTTCCAGCTATCTTGGAAAGATGTGGTTTTTAATTTCACCTTTTTATTTTTTTATTTTTTATTTTTCTAAGGGTAAATGTTTGGGTCAGTATCTTTTTTTTTTTTTTTTCTTAAGACATTTGATAAAATTTATAAAAAAATAATTCTGGAGTTTTTGAAAACTGTGATTGTTTTGCATATATCTGTAAACAGTCATAGCAAACATAGTAAACGTTTAAAAGAACTTGTTCTGTGTGAATTTGTGGTATTTGGAAAGTCAATTTTGGAATCTGAATATAATTATTGTAATTACTGTAAATTAAATACACTGTGAGAAATATCAATGTAAAAGTAATTTTGTTATCTCATAAAGAATGCACTAAATGCCAGTATACACAAGCATGCTTGTTACAAAGGTCCGTCCAATGAATTATTTCTCATCTAATTAAATATAAACAAGAAGTGACTTAAGAGTTTTCTGCACAAAGTCATCTAACAATTCCTGACCTGTTGTTTAAGTCTACTTTGCTTAAATTAATATTTCTTCATTATCATTTAAAATTTAATAGGACCTAATAAATAGGATACAAAAGAATTGCCTAATAAAAAATAGTCCAGATCAGTATTCCTTAAACTTTTTTGATCATAAAGTAATTTTGGATTAAATTATTTGACAGAAGTTCCACACATGATATAAAGTGTTTTGATAACAAAATAAGTTTCACAAGTAATTTCTTGTGAAAGAAATTATTTAAAATCTTTAATCGAATCTGTTTATGCTATATGGTAAAAATATTTATAAAATTACAAATGTGTTAATAAGAGAAGCAGCATTGACACCAGGTATAATTCAAGAGCAATGGTTGATAATGCTGCCTGTTTATGCTTAGCTCTACACCAGTGAAACATCCTGTACTTACACATTGGTGATTTCTCCACGAAATTCCTGATCCTTGGGACAAGGCATACCATTTTTAAAAGCAGAGTAAAGTATGGTAATAAAAACCTATCTAACAGTATTTTAGTTTACTTTTTTTCAAAAATGTATTTTGGGAGAAATATGTTGCTGATAATGATTTTGGCTATAAAACAGATGTGTTTAAAGGCATTCGTGCTAGGGAGAACATTGGAAAACGTTTTAATCTCTTGCTGACTAACACTTGGTCGATCTTGGTTTCTAGCTCCCAGATGGCCGCATTATCAAAGTTGGGGGGGAGAGGTTTGAAGCGCCAGAAGCTTTATTTCAGCCTCACCTGATCAATGTTGAGGGAGTGGGTGTTGCTGAATTGCTTTTTAACACAATCCAGGCGGCTGACATTGATACCAGGTATGTTAGAACATGGTGGTTTCAAAGTTATTTATCAGAAAAAGAAATTGATGGAATATACATAGTTGGAATGACCAAGTTGCCTGTTATCTCATGTTTTTTAAATGCATAAGGCAAAATAATTTTTTGATAGGGTGGTACTTGATGCTTACCACATTGTATCATTGTGTCTCAGAAGTCATTTTAAACTGTATTTTGAAATTAATAAAACCTGAAAAGTTGCTAGGATAATAAAGAGAACTCGTGCATACTCTTTATCCATTTTACTAATGTTCTACTGTACGTGCTTGCTTTATTATCCTCTCTCTTTTTTCTTGAGCTATTTGAGAGGATGAATGTCAAATCCTCTTTACTTCTTAATATTTACTTTGTAGTTTCTAAAAACAAAAATATTCCCTATACAGCCACAGTGTAGTTATCAGATACAGGAGATTGATTACTAATAAATAATTTTTATATATTATTTACTAGAGGCCAATGCACACAATTTGTGCAAGAGCAGGCCTTTCTTCCCCTGGCTGCTGGCACCGGCTTTCCTTGCAGCCCCGGCTTCACCGGAAGGATATCTGGTCTGATCAGCATATTACGCTTTCATTATTATAGATTAATCCTTACATGAGGATTTTTTTTTTCTATTTTTAGAGAATGGAAGGGAAGCAGGGGAGGGGAGGAGCAAGAGAGACATTGATGTGAAAGAAACACATCTATTGTTTGTGCGGGATTGAATTTGCAACCTAGGCACATACCCTTGGTCAGGAATCAAACCCGAGCCACACCATCCAGGGCGTTACTGATAAATACTTAAATCTACCTTACAGATTTCAGTGCCATCCACTATTCCAATGTGTCCTTTGTACAGTTTTTCTTTTCTCCAGTAAAGTAATAAATCTAGGATCACATATTGTATTTAGTTGACACAACTCCTAGACACTTTTTATCTGCTACCAGTTCTCAGTTTTTCATGATATTGACATCTTTGCAGAGTACAGACCAATTATGTTAGAGAATGTATGGAGGGAGGCCTATTGATGTTTCTCTTCTGTGTCCATGCTTCTCCCTCCCTCCCTCCATCCTTCCCTCCTTCCTTCCTTCCTTTCTTCCTCCCTCCCTCCCTCCCTCCCTCCTTTTTTCCTTCCTTCCTTCCTTCCTTCCTTCCTTCCTTCCTTCCTTCCTTCCTTCCTTCCTTCCTTCCTTCCTTCCTTCTTCACTTCCCCACTTCCTTCTTCTCTCCCTTCCTCTCTCCTCTCTCTCTTTCACTTCCTTTCTTTCTCTCTCTGGGCATGTCTTTGGGTGAGGATTTAAAAAAAAGAAAAAAGATATATTATCTGCCCTGGCTAGGTTAGTTCAGTTGGTTAGAGCTTTGTCCCAGTATGCCAAGGTTGCAGTTTCAATCCCCAGTCAGGGCACATTCAAGAATCAACTAATGAATGCATAAATAAGTGGATCAACAAATTGATGTTTCTCTCTCTCCTTACCTCTCTATCTAAAATCAAGCAATACATTTTTAAAAAGATAAGTAATCTTTTCTTTTATTGCATCTGGAGTTTGAGTCATAGTTAGAAAGCCCTCCTCTACACTCAGTTTATTGAGGCATTCACTCGAAAGTATTTTGTAAAGCAAGTGTTTGCTTACTTAACACTGAATTAAATATCCACCTAATTTTTGTGGGATGTCTGGGGAGTAGGATAATAATGGAAATGAATAAAATAATTGGCTCATAATATCTATCTATCTATCTATCTATCTATCTATCTATCTATCTATCTATCTATCTATCTATCTATCAAAGCCTAGGCAACCTTTATGACTAGAATGACTGGTTGCTATGATGTGCACTGACCACCAGGGGGCAGACACTCAACGCAGGAGCTGCACCCCTGGTAGTCAGTGCACTGTGGGAGCGCTGCTCAGCCAGAAGCCGGGCTCATGGCTGGCAAGCGCAGCTGCAAAGGTGGGAGCCTCTCCCACCACCACAGCAGTGCTACGGAGCAGTGGCAGTAGACGCAATGGGGCCAGGATGAGCAGGAGGGGCAGGGTGCCTGGCCCAGCTTGGCCTCCTCCCCAGCCACCTGCTGCTTAGGAACTGCTACATCCCCCTAGGGTCCCGGATTGCGAGAGGGCGCAGGCCGGGCTGAGGGACCCGGCCAGGTTGAGGGACCCCATCCATGTATGAATTTGTGCACCGACCTCTAGTAAATCTGTAAATCTAATGGAGGATGATAAAACATCTAACCTAGACTTCATAATGATGATAAATTCTAATAATAGAAATTAGAGGATTTTGTCCTTTGATTTAATGAAAATTGTATTTTAAAAGTGCATTTCCTATTGGTGGTGATTCAAGTTTAGGCATTCCTAAAACACTGGAGTCAACACTCTCCACAGACCCAGAGTAGAAAGGAGCACAACTCAAAATTTTGTTTGTTGTGTGTTCTACATATTGAAGGCATGCATGTAAATGCTCGTGTTACATATCACATGTAGCCATGCTTGAGCTGCTTGGCTTATGGGACGTGCATGTGTGTACTTCTGCAATTAAAAACAAAAACTCTGTTCTTCTAGAAGATAGAATTACAGTAGCTTGAGCCATTGAGAACCTGGGAGTAACTACTAAAGACACAAAGCCAATTTGAATGAAGCCAGAATGAATGTGACTTGGCTTCTGAGCTTTACAATGAGAAGAATTCCTCGGACCCTCCCTCAGATTATGTTTTACTACATATGTAGCTATTTTATATTTGATATAACTAACAGCATATTCTAATGAAAGAAGTTTACTACAGGAAGCAAACATGTTCATCAGTCTAACAAAAAGTAACAGCGACAGCTTCAAGGCAAAGGAATGAAAGGGGAAACTACAAAAGGGAAATGGAAAAGTTGAAAAGCAAGAACTGGGAACATAATAGAATATGGTTATCAGAGTAAGCAGCCACTTCTCAGAGGCTCCAGAAAGCACTGCTATAACAGTCCAGACACTGATAGTTTGTAATGTGCACTGGGCATTATTAAAAGGCTCGGTTACATTTGCAAGGAAGTGTCATGCTTTAGAAGTGGATTCATCAAAATTGTAACATTTTATATGAAAGGAGGGCATGTTATTCAATAATAGTAGGAATAGCTAACATTTAGCCTGTGGTTTATACGTTGAATTTTATTTAATTTTCCTGGCATCTGGCAGACATAAATAACAGGAACTTTGAGATGCCTTTTTCCTAATCTGAACCCCTAAATGGTTACCCATTGTGTCTTTCTAGATCTGAATTCTATAAGCACATTGTGCTTTCTGGAGGATCTACAATGTACCCTGGACTGCCATCACGGTTGGAAAGAGAACTAAAACAGCTGTACTTAGAACGAGTTTTAAAGGGAGATGTGGAAAAGCTTTCTGTAAGTATCAATAATCCATATTTAAGACCCTGTAAAGTAGCTTGTGAATCCTGCCAGCCACCAGAGGGCGCAAGAAGTCTTTCTAAACAAATTTCTAACAGTCAAGTACAGCCTTGAAGAGAGGGAAGAATTAAATGGTTCAGGGTCATAAGGACTGTCCCAGAATGGTCCTATTGCATGGTCACTTGTGTATTCAGTGGATGGAAATGAGTAGGTCCAAGACCAAACATTCTGGGTTATCTGTAATAACTAGCCTGGAATCAAGGTGTCTCTCAAACGCATGAGAAGAACCTACTGTACTCTGGAGGGATAAATGCCCCATTTGGTGGTTTGGGATTTTTTTTTTTATTGTTTTGTTTTTAACTTTTTGGATATGTAATCAGCCTTCATTGCTACTCTTGGACTCTCATATTTCTGATTTTAGGTTATTTTCTGGCTTTTTCTTACATAAGTCTTAGCTCCCCAATCAGATTATATAACATCATGTCTCCAATTTTTTTGCATCTCCATCAATTATCATAGTTTCTGAAATAAACTTTAATTGGTAGTTGTTGGTAAGTGTAGAAAAAAAATTTTAAACTACTATGTAATAGTTAATGGTTGTTTGACGATTTTTTTTCTTACAAACTGGACTGTGAAGTACAGTATATATTGTGTGCTTAACCAACAGTCATTTAATACTGAATGAATCAGGTTTGTCTCATGGACTTTAATCAGCTGTATTAGATGAGATTACACATTAAGAGGACTAACTGTACATATTGGAGACACTAATAGTATATTTTTCATATGTGACCCAAAATTGGTGAAATTAAATTGAGTGTGGACACACATACATTAAATAAATTAAAAGGCTGAAACAACCCATATTGTCCAAGTCCTTCACTCGTCTGATTTTTTTGAGTTATACATATACTTTAAAATCGGTTTCAGGTGGTCATTTATTTATTCAGCATATATTTGTTGAACTCCTTCTGGGAGACAAACACTGGGATAAACAAAATAGTGGTGAACAAAAACCAAATCCCTGCTTTTGGTTTATGAAGGATAGCATGTCAGTAGTGATAAGTAGTATGAAGAGAAGGAAAGTAAGGTTGGGGGTTAGAAAGTGATAGGAGTTGTGGACATGGTGTGTTCCTTCATGTAGTATGATTGGGGAAGGCCTCCGATGAGAAAACTTTTGAGCAGAGACCTGAATGGAGTGAGGAAATGAGCCATGTGACTGACTCTTTAGGGAAAGAACCTTCTAGGCAGAAATAGCAAGTTGGTGGGAGCGGGTAGGTATGGCTGGAGCTGAGAGCAATGGAGAGGCCTGGGAGGTGAGGTCAGAAAGACAGCCAGGACACAGTATACTGAGTTTGACTTTGCTTCTAGTGAAATTGGATTTTGAGCAGAGAAAGGATAGGATCTGACTTGTTTTTAAAGGGTCATTAAGTCTACTGAACATGCTTTGAGGGGAGGGAGAGAGGTGAATGTAGAAAGACAGGTTAGGATGCTCTGAGAGGAGGGAGGAAGTGGTAGTGGTTCATAGAATAGAGGAGGGGGAGTAAGGTGTCTTAGAGAGCGGGGGAGAGGGGAGAAATGTAATGGGATTGCCGAGCCGCACTAGGGCTCAGTTGAAGTGAGTGATACATTGGAAGTAAGGGGGTTAGTTTTTCTCCTGTGGTATTCAGTTGCTTGAGGGCAATGCAAGTAGAGAGGTGATCACCTGAGTTGCAGTTTTGTCAAATGAGTGTGAGAGGGAGAGGACAAAGTAACCAAGGATAATGTCAGGAAATGGTGGAGAGTGCAGACACTCACGCAGTGAGCAGATCTGAGAAGAAATCACCTGGGATCTGGAGATGACTTAGGCAAGGAAGAGTGGCCGGAGTAGCTGACGGAAGGAGTTTCTGAGGGCCTGTGGAGCTGCAGGGAGGAGGAGAGAGGAGCAGCAATGAAGAATAAGACGAATGCTTGCCGAAACCGGTTTGGCTCAGTGGATAGAGCGTCATCCTGCGGACTGAAAGGTCCCGGGTTCGATTCCGGTCAAGGGCATGTACCTTGGTTGTGGGCACATCCCCTGTAGGGGGTGTGCAAGAGGCAGCTGATCGATGATTCTCTCTCATCGATGTTTCTAACTCTCTATCCCTCGCTTTCTCTCTGTAAAAAATCAATAAAATATATTTAAAAAAAAAGACGAATGCTTGTTACTAAGTCCCAAGGTCAGGAAGTGCAGTGAGGGAAACAGCAGCCAGCTGAGAAAGCTTCAGGGGAGCCCAGCTTCCCTTACAGCGGGTGGTCAGCCTGCAGTCCTGTGCCCCAAACAGCTGTGCTGCTGTAAATACAACTGTATTGGACACAGCCAGACCATTTTATATGGCGTTACCTACCATTACACATTTTCTATAGCTGCTGCCCAGAGAGACCTGCAAAGTTTCAAGTATTTGCTATCTGGCCCTTTACAGAAATAGTTTGCTGACCCCTACCTAAGAGCAAAACAGTAATTCAAATAATCAAAATAGTAGGTTAGCCTCAGAATTGATAACTGGTGTTTTTCTGACATGTATTATCCCATCCTACGATTCATTTATGTGACATAAAGGTATTTTAGAATGACAGTTATTTTGAGTCCTTTTGCAAGATTTGTGGCACTGTTAATAAAACTGCTGCATCATTTTAAGGTTTCATTTAAAAAAAAAAAAAAATATATATATATATATATATATATATATATATATATTATTGATTTTTTTTATAGAGAGGAAGGGAGGGGGATAGAGAATCAGAAACATCGATGAGAGAGAAACATTGATCAGCTGCCTCCTGCACACCCCCCACTGGAGATGTGCCCACAACCAAGGAACATGCCCTTGACTGAAATTGACCCCGGGACCCTTCAGTCCACAGGCCGACCCTCTACTGAGCCAAATCGGTCAGGGCTTTAAGGTTTCTTTTAGGAGTTAAGGGACCATACAGATTGAGGTGTGTCCTTGTTAGGCAGTTAATACTGGCCATAGAGGTTTTTTTGTTTGTTTTGTTTTTTGTTTTGGGCCATAGAGTTTTAAACTTTTCCCACTTGTTTTTCATTTGGTTACTGTGTTCATTTTTCCCCCAATACCCCAGGATTTATTTTGACCATATTTGGCATTTTGAGAATATTTTTATTTGAATTTCAGAAAGTAGAAAGAGAGCTTTGCTTGTAAGAAAAGAGTTTCAATCTTTCTCTATTGCACAGGACTATAGTCATAGCAGTGTTAGACCCTGAAGAAACCACAGAAGTCCTCTTATCAAACTCTTCATTTGACAGCTAACAAAGTGTTGGTCAACCCCTGTGTTCATCCACCAGTTGATGGGAAAAGCTGCACAAGCAGAATCTGGTATTTGGGTTCACAATAGGGTGATCATGGGATTTATCGTTCAAATTAGGACACTTGATAGGGCTGTTACTAATAGGGTAACAGGTGTAAATCAGGACTGTTCTAAGCACACAAGGTGTGAGCTTTGGGCAAATTACAGAATGTCTCTACCTCACATGCCAAATCCTGCAGTCCTCCTTACCCACAGGACGTTGGTGAGAATTCAGCAGCAGCACGTATGAAGAAGTGTTATACAGCGCACAGCACCACGCACAGGTGACATTTGATCATTCATCTCTTTCCTCTTTTAGAAATTTAAGATCCGTATCGAAGACCCTCCCCGCAGAAAGCACATGGTATTCCTGGGCGGTGCCGTCCTCGCAGACATCATGAAAGACAAAGACAACTTCTGGATGACCCGGCAGGAGTACCAGGAGAAGGGCGTCCGCGTGCTGGAGAAGCTCGGCGTGACTGTTCGATAAGCTCCAAAGCCTGTGCCCCTCACACCCCTAACGCTTTCTTTTCTCCTTTATTGCCAACCTTTGAACTCATTAAATTCCAGGACATGGATGAGGCCCCTCTTTAACCTTTAACTGCAAAGGTCAGATTTTATTCTGGAGTCTTGGGGAAGCTTTGTTAAATTTTTGTTGATGTGGGTAAATCTGACTGTTGAATGCAACCACTTCCTTACAAACACAAGGAGAGGGCAGAGGGTCCCGTCTGCTGCTTTGTCTCTGCTGAGTAGGCGTTTAGATCATTCCTGCAGGCTTCCTAGTTTCACTTGACTGCTCTAATGCTGCTATTCCAGCGCACTAGGTGGTATGCCTTTATTAGCATAAGAAAAACTTCAACAGGAGCTTTTACACGTTACTGGGGTGGGGGGTGAGGGGTGGGTGGGAAGCTGCTGAACCCTTCAGGGCATTTCTGTCTATAGCGTGAGGCTTTCAACAAAGACTGAAGTACCTTGCAGCTCTGGTATTAACTTTTTAGGGAAACATTGGGCTCAGGACTAAATTGTACTGGGTGGGTGTTTGTGTGTAGGGGCCAGGGGAGGTGATCTTTTGATTTTTGAGCTCTTCTGCTCTTGGTACAAACGAACTTTATTTACAGTATTTTGATTTGGCAGGTTTTCTTCTACTTTTGGTCTGCCTGGAACGGTTTTCATATGATAGAAAAAAATAAGTATAGTATCCCATTACCATGCGTAGCGATTTTCTTTTTCTTTTCTTTTTTTTTTTTAAATCAACCATGTTATCTGGGACTAGACTCCCTAAAATCTATCAATAGTAAAGTAACCTTTTTAAAAATGCTATTGGACATTCAAATTACAGAATTAAAAAGAGCTTAAGAGCTGGTATTTCCTCAGAGTTTCTGTTTATACCAGAAGCATTAAGGTAAATCCAGTGCCAAGTATCATTCTTGCAAATTATTGTTTTCGATAACTGACCAGTGACTTACTTAATAAAAAAAAAGAATAAAAACATAAATAATTACTGGTAGTAGGTTAGAATGGCTGGGTTAAAAATAACATTGAAATATGGGACTTATTGCCAGTTGGGTAATTTTCATTCGTTGTTTTTATTTGTTTGTTTTGATTTGAACTTTAAGGAAAGTAAAATTTGACTATTTAAAATGTTGGCCAAGAAAAAAAATCAAGATTTAAATTTGTATCTGTATTAAAAAATTAGTCTTAACAACATAATCGCAGCCATTTTATGCTTGAAAGAAGAATTGTTGGTAATTTATAAATGTTAGCAGACCTTCCTTTCTATTTCAGAAAATCATATTTATGAAGTCTGTCAGAATTACTTGGTATCTGAAAAAATACTCAGGCCTGAATTCTTTCTAAATTTGAAAAACAAAGTAATAAGAAATTATACCACGCTGAGTACAAAATGTAGAGTCTGAGGGGAAAAGTTCCGCCCCCCCCCCACCCCCCCACAAAAAATTATTTACTAATAATGAAAAGAAAACTTTGCTTTGAAAGGAGAAGCTTATTTTTCTGGGTAACTGAAATCAGAGAAATTACTGGCTTTAGAGTCTCTTTTGTGAGAAAACTTAAAAATCAGTTTATATGAAACAAGCAGCAAAAGGAGGCTAGTTTTCATTATGCAGCTTCTGTTATTATTAAGTATTTTTTCTCTGTTTACCTCAATTTGAACAAATAAAAGAAGTTTGCCTGCATGCTGGCCATGCTTCAGTACATGTGAATAGCCTATGAATAACATCTGCTAGATTTTAAGGACCTAGATGTCTGAGTGTTTGGGATTCTAATGTGTTCTTAAATCATGTTCTTATAAATCCCCCCAGCCTTTTGAGTACTGGACTTTTGTAAAGAACACACATTTGTAGGACCAGTACCTACTAGCTGTTCATTTCAGGTAAATGGATTGACTCTTGGCCTTTGGTCATGACTTTATAATATGGGGGCAGAAAACAACAAACAATAGAATAGGCTCTTAAATAAAACGATGAAAGAGCACTTATCATCTGTCCTTTGTAGGATTTGGTTTTAATTTCATATTCTGCTAGCAAACGTGACATTAATATGGTGTATTAATATATATAGTATAATTTTAAATTTTCATTTTATAATTTTCCTATTCCAAGGTGAAATAATGCATTTAGAAATTTTGGGAGTGGGTGAAGTATTGTGTTTAATTGCATTTGTCTAGTGTGAGTTTCTCAAATTAAAATTTTTTCTGTTTTGAAAGAGATCTGATATTTAGCTCTTAAACCATTGTCATTTAAATTTCTAAAAATGATTAAAATTACTTTCTTTTAAAATTAGGATTGCTAATATCTTGATATTTGAGAAGGGCTTCTTAGAAATAGGTCCTATGGTTAAACTTTTTTCTTCAAAACTTGGTATTGGATGTTAACTTTTACACGGTTCTGAGCACTGTTAACAATATCAGTAAAGTATTTTGAGAGATCATTGGAAAGTTAAAAATTCTGAATTTAACATGAATACACTTCTTTTTGATTCTGAAAATAAAATCAGGTTTTTCAAAGTAAATCTGAATTTTGTCTTTCTCTTAATAGTTTTTCTTTTATTTTCATTTTCTTATTTTTATTTATATATTCATTTTTGCTAATGCAAGATGGATTGACAACTGTAGGCCAAGTTTCATTCAATGTTCTATTATTTGACCCAAAAACCTCTTCATTTCTGGTATGATTTTAAATACTTGTCAGGGGAAAGGGAGTGGGAGGATAAAAAATAAGAGCAAATGACAGCCATAGCTATGTGAGAGATTTTTCCCCTCAAGCAGAGACTTTTGTTTCCCGGAAGATACCCTGTGGTTTTCCAATGGTAGGTAGACTGGTATGTCACATGCCTCTTTCCAAGGATATTTCAGCTCATCTGCAGACTTTTAGGCATATTATCTTTAATGAAACAACTAAAGAAGGATGAAAATTTATTAAAATGACCCTTGCTTTTATACTTGCCTTTGAGAATGGAGGTTGGGAAGTAGACTCAAGTGTTTTTGTTTTTCCTTCAGGAAATTGTATGCTTGCATCTCATTGCTCCCTTCATGGCCAAAGTTCTCCAGACCTCTGGAGGTTTGCCTCTGATGTCTTACTGTCTTTTCGTTTCCAGGAGTATAGTGTGACGCTGTCTATAAATGTTACAGAGGAAGACACTCTAAAAAGTGTCCTTGTGGATGGAAAGTCGCAATTTTGTTCTTCATCCACTGTACAGCTGAGTGCATTTATGAACTACTGATTTTAGAACCATTTGAGAAGTTATCCAACTATAGTGAACCAGAAACTCAGGGACTGACTTCAGTTCAGTATTTAGTGCATTTCTAACCCTGTACTTAGACCAACTGCCCACAGTACCAGGTTTTATAGGTTCCTCTTTCCCTTCAGCTCAAATTCTGTGACCTATTAAAAGATTGAAAATGTTACGTCCGAGGTAAGTGGAGGAAGTGGAGAGGACCTGGGAAAGCGTATTTGTATCAATTAGAAGTATCCCAATTTGTGTTCTCTGCAGATGGAAAATATTTAAGTAGGTAGTGGGAATCCAAATGATTTCTCACTTCTCTTTGGCTGAACAGAATCCCTGTTCTCTCTCATTTCTACACTCAGTTCCTTCCACCCACTAGAGAGGAAAAAACTGCAAAGGACTGCAAATAATTTCCCTTGAAACAGGAGGATTAGGATTTTAACTGTGTGTGCGTTGGCCAGTTGAAACGTTTGGATTGGGCATTGCCGAGACCAGCCACAAGGATAATACAGGATAGTTTCAAGTGCAGGGTGACTCCTGAAGCACAGTGCCTTTTGCTAATATCAAGTTGAGTCTTTGCCTGGTGATTGCTTTTTTTCAAGATTAATAAAAAGAAAAGTAATGAGCTGCTTTGCCCTTGAATGGGGGCTTGAAAAAGAGTGCCCTGATTCTTAAGAATAAGAATTTTATTCATTAAAACTATTATAAATATTTGTATTTTTATACTTACCACTTTAATATTACAAATGTTTGAAATAGTAATATCAAATAAAGGTTGACATTTTAAGCAATTAGTTCAGGAAATTCTGAAGTTAAGATCTGCCACAATATTAATTTGATCTTTTTGTTAATTGAGTTTCTTGAAACTATACAGGGGTTGGGTTGTTTTGTGTGTGTGTGTGTGTGTGTGTGTGTGTGTGTTTTAAATGTATTTTTATTGATTAGAGTGAGAGATACCAATGACCAGCTACCTCCTGCACGCCCCTCACTGGGGGTGGAGCCCACAACCTGGGCATGTGCCCTGACCAGGAATCGAACCATAACCTGGCTCAACCACTGAGTCATGTGGGCTGGGCAGGATTTCTTTTATTTTTTTATTTTTTAAGACCTATCAAAAGTATGCACAAGAAAACTGCAAGGCCTGTCTTACTTTAGGAACCAAATCTAAGGGTGTCCTGAGTAAGAATTCTCTTAACTGCTCTTCTATTTACATATTTCATGCCAACTTATGTCTGAAGAGTAAGAAATTTGGGCCTAAACTGAGGCTAAAATGTAAAAAATAAGTTATAATTTACATTTGATCCTTTGATTTGAAACCTTCAGTCTACCTACATGTGTGCGCATGCACTAAGATCTACACTTGAAGGCTTCCACACTGCATTTAAGAACTGTTGAAAAGGAATGTAGGTTTGAAGCCTAAAGCTATGACAAGGAGGTACAATCCCCCCCCCTCCCGCTTGACTTGGATGATCAAGCAGGGGAGGGGGGCCATTTTGTCTATTTTGTTCTTTTTAATATATTGATTTTTTTTTTTTTTTTTACAGAGAGGAAGGGAGAGGGATTGAGAGCTAGAAACATCAGTGAGAGAGAAACATCAATCAGCTGCCTCCTGCACACCTCCCACTGAGGTTGTGCACACAACCAAGGTACATGCCCTTGACCAGAATCGAATCTGGGACCTTTCAGTCCACAGGCCAACGTTCTATCCACTGCGTCAAACCAGTTTCAGCACAGCCCCACTGTGGACCT